CTGGCACATTAACATCTAACATAGCTAATTAGTAGCTAGTTTCCTATTCTACTTCTTGATAACAAATATGGCCTTGGACAAAATAGTCTCCATTTCTATAAAATGAGCATAGATATTAAAAGTATCAAGTTCAGAGTTATTTTCAGATTTAAATGAGAGCTCTATAAACAAACTTGAAACAATGAATGACTTGTAGCAAGTACTATGTTTAAACATCAACTAGTAGTCTAAAATGATGGTTTGGTATAGATGGTGATCAATTTCACTCGTCATTGTATTTTTGTTAATTAAAGGAGACCGTTTCTATAACCATGCCAGTAAAACATACATAAAACTCCCACATTTTTCACACTACTTACCATCCAGTAACACCACCAATTAACAGCTGGGTTGCCACACTATACTTTTCAGCTGATGGCCCAGATTCCTGCCCAAATAGCTTGCGCCACCATGGTTGCTTTTTAGCCAATTCTGCAAGATCAAGCACCTCAAATTTTCCATCAAAGTTTCCTATAAAAGAATTAAGATATGTAGTTAATGGCTGCTGGAGAAAGAAGAGACATTTTCTTCAGCAGTACAGCCTGGTAAGGTACCCACGCTCCAAAAAACAATCCCTCACTCATAGTCCTGTAAGAAACCCTAATGAAACTAATTGAGTCATCAAATAAAAAAATAATAGAGAAGATAAGACATGGCAGTTGCAGGCGGACTAGTTGGAAACAGTACAACAAAGGGTTAGGGGGATAAATATGATCAAAATACATACATTATGAAAATGTCATAATGAAATTCATCATTATGTGTGATTAATATATGTTAATCAAAACTTAAAAGCAGTAATATAAAAAAAGTTTACTCAAAAGATTTCAAAGGAAATAGTTATAATTTAGAATACACAAATATTCTATTTTAAATAGTAAATTGCCTCTGAAATTTTGAATTGCAATTTTATTTTATTTTTAATATTTTTAAAATTATTTTTATTTCATATGTATGAGTGTATTGCCTGCATGTATGTAAGCGCACCCATGTCGGGCAATGCCCGAGAAGGTCAGAGGAGAGCATCAGATCCCCTGGAACTAGAGTTGTAGATGGTTGTTAGCTGCCATGTGGGTGCTGGGAACTGAACCCAGGTCCTCTGCAAGAGCAACCAGTGCTCTTAACCACTGATTTAAAATTCCAACTCAGTGAGCTGGAGAAATGGCTCAGTGGTTAAGAGCGTTCTAAATAAAACAAATTTTCTTCATCTGCCTCTTTAGGAGTCACCAATTTTCTGTACTGTGAATAAAGAAAGCAAGCAATGAGGCAAAAACATAGAAAAAGCCAAGGATTGTTTTTAAAGAAAACAAAATAGAAGCAGAATCAGAGATGACCCAGATATTAAACTAAGCAAATATGCTCAGGAGATTATACATACATGTAATTTGAGTCAAAGAAGATTAACAAGAATGGGACAGAAGTAAAATTCAAGAAGCATGCTAAAGTGACTCAAGCATGAAATAATACCAAATGGAACTCTGGAAATGAACAAGGGAATAAAGAGCACTTGAATGAACAGTCAGGTTGATAAATAATATAAATAATCACTTGCTGTAAAACAAACAATTGATTCCTAAATTATCCACAAGTAATAGAAAAATGGTGAAATATGGAATAATTCCCCCTAAATGAATGGAGACACTATGTCTAAATTTTGTGAGATTCAGTATTCTTTTTGGCAGTGTTAGTAATCCAACACAGAGCTAGGCAAGCACTATACCTGTGAGCCACATCCCTACCTGGGTTTCAAAATTTTTAAGATGTACAACCCCAATTAAAAAAATATTTTATCCATTACAGGTTAAGGTGGTTCTAAAATTCATATGGACAAGGAAAGGAACAAGAATAGTGTTCCAGTTACAATGTCTGTACAACAACTTGCCCCAAAACTTCACCAAAGCCATCATTTTCTATGCTCTCTGGTTCTGTGGATGTGAAATTGAGTTACCGCATTAAGGCTATTCTGTGATGTCTGAGGCTTTAGCTGGAAAACTTATAGGTGGGGTATGGAATCATCTGAAAACTCTGCACGCATATATACAGGCTACTTTTGTCGCAAGTTACAGTGGGTTTCCTTATACAGCTGTAGGTAGGTTCAAGAGATAACTGAGCCAAGTGTAGGAAAGCACAAAGACTTGGAAAAAGATGTATTATCATTTAAGTCCTGGCTTCAGAAGCCATACAGTATTACTTCTACTAATCGGGCTCGAGTATCTCTCATCCACATTCAGGAAAAGGGAATACAGACCCTAACTCTTACTGGGAGAAGAGTATCAAAGTCCCACTGAAAACAGACCATGTGAAAACTAAATCTTTCACGTGTGGTCAAAGCAATCTTGGTGAGAAAAAGTTCAAAGAAGTTCAAGACATAAAACTACAGTATAAGGGCTGGAGAGATGGCTAAGTGGTTAAGAGCACTGATTACTCTGGCAGTAATCAGTAAACTGGGTTTGATTCCCAGCACCCACATAGCAGCTAACAACTCTCTGTAACTCCAGTTCCAGGTGATTCAATGCACTCTTCTGACCTCCTCGGGTATTGCATGACATGTGTGCACTTGCACACATGCAGGCAATACACACACACATAAAATAAAAACAATATGTTTTTAAAAACTACAGCATAAAACATAGCTACCTGACTTAATGATTTATAATGTTGTAGTATTTAATATGGTGATGTAGTGATCCAAGCATGCACAAAAATATCAGTGGAAAAGAAAGTCTAGAAATAGATTCTCACATATCATTATATCATTTTCCATAACGTGATACTAAAATAATTCTGTGGCAGAAAGCAAGTTTTCTCAACAAATCATGTTAAAAGTACTAGATATTCAGATTTTAAAAACAAAAAGTGTACCTTACATCATACATACACAATAAAATAAAAAATGGTAACACAACAGGAAAATATCACCTCTATATTGAGGAATCTATCAGCCACTGAAAACAAGAACCAATTTTGCTTTCAGTTCTATTTTGATGTACTTTCATCAAGCTCTTACAGTCAATCTATGGCTGCAGCCAAAAGTGGGATTAAACTGGTTGTGGTAGCACACACCTTTAATGCTAGTCCTTAGGAAGTTGAGGCAGAATTGCTGTGAGTTTGAGGCTAGTGTGGGCTGCACAAACAGGGGAGGGGTAAAATCAGAGAGCCTGGTCCACTCAATTTCATTCAGTCACTTATTAAACACTGCTAAGAACTGAAGTAAATTCACAAGCCATGTCTACTAGGGGCTCAGAAAATGAGTGATAATTACTACAAAGCCTAAAATTGATGTAATAGTCAAAATTTCTAAGAAATTCCTGGGTGCTCTGTTTAGCAAGTGGATGGTGAACTGACTTAACATTAAGTAAAATAGGGTAAGAAGTACTTACTGCACTGCTAATTGTTAGGAATGTTCCTTTGAATTGGCCGACTAAAAATAGCATCCTCCATGTTCTACTGTTTTCAAAACTGATAGGTAAAAAGTTTTGGCGGAGAGCTAGGGAATGGAGGCTGAGGCACCGAGGCACAGACAGAACTCTCAGCGGGATACGGCTTTATTTCACACGGGACACGTTTCCCTCCGGGAAGGGAAAAATAGCCCACGGGTTGTGAGCTGGGACTTATATACGGGGGCTTCAGGGTACAAAAGGGGGGGGGGGGGAGTTTGGGGGAAAAATCAAACAGGAGGAAGCAGGACAAACAGGGCTTGTAAACCTGGCTCCGTTCAGTCTGTCAGCCAGGATCTGGGTCTGGAAGTGTTTACTTTTTTGTCCTCTTAAGATAAGGGAAAAGCTGCTGTGCTAAAAAAAAAAAAAAATCTCTGGTTAACACGTAGAATCTGCTTATCTTGTCTTTGGAGATAAGAGGAAAGGCAGGCTGTTTCTTAGCAGAGTCTGTTTCCCTTGACTTCAAAGGCCAAGGTGCTTATCAGCTCAGTTCTCCTTTTCAGGATTCAAAAGTCCATAGGTCCCTGTTGGGGAGCGGGGGAAGCTGCTGCTGTTTGAAACCCTAATAAAAACCATCAGTCATGCAGCTAGGAAAGTGCAACCGAAAATTAGGAGAGTTAGGTGTTTGAAATGCAAGTCCAAAGCGACAAACATGATAGGGTCAGGGAGCCAGATCGCTTCCAAGAACAGAAACTGGATGTCCTAGGGATGCAGCCATTGGGGCGGCGCCGGAAGGCTGGAAAAGCCAGCCAGAGATTAACGGCCAGACAACTCGGCCTCAGGCCTGCGCTTGACCTTGGCCAGATCCTGGAGCCCAGGAGAAGTTTCAGCGGCGGCTCTGGCGCCGACTCTGTTCAGATGCCTAAGGCTCCCGACGACGCTGGGGAGGAGCCAAGCAGGCGCGCAGCGGTCCTAGCCCTAGCCCAGGAAGGCGGCTCCGCGCGGAACCTTCCGCGCGTCCCCACCCTTACCTTGACTGCTCGCAGCCATTTCGGAGAAGTAGCCTCGCGAGGACAGGCGCAGCAGATCCGCGCGACAGGAGGCGGAGGAATGCTGGCTGTCATCTCCTGCGGGCTTCCGGCACGTGGGACAGAATTTTCCATTCCCTAGGCAGTGGCAGCAGGGAGCGGGCGGGGCAAGCTGCGGCCAGTTTCCTGTCCCAGACCATCCGCGTCATCAACCTTAGCTGACTGTAGTGAGCCCGCGACACAATCCTCGTCCAAAGGTACCATTGCTGCATGCCACTCCGACTTGGCCCTCTGCACTTAATACTTGATGGAAAGACGGTGCCAGCCATGCTGATTCATGTAAACAGTGAGCATATGTCGGTTCCGATGCTCATTCCAGTGCTATGTCAGTGCTAGAAAACACATTTTACACTTTTTTTTTTTTTTTTTTGGTTTTTCGGAGACAGGCCCCCCCTGTAGCCCCAGTTCTCCTAAACCTCACTATGTAGACCAGTCTGGCCTTGAACTCACAGAGATCCGCCTGCCTCTGCTTCTGCCTCACGAGTGCTGGGATTAAAGGCGTGCACCACCACTCCCAGCATCTTACCATTTTTAAAGCATTGCAATTACAATAAAAATTATACATGTATTATAACTACTGCTACTTGCTACTCTTTAAACTTTATGAGTCTGTACACCTGATGCTTACGACGTCTGTTTAGGACAAATGGGTGTGGCCTTAGACAAGACATTTAACCACTCTGTACCCTACTAGCTTTGTATCTGTACCTGCTTTATACGTATTGTCCTAGCAATACATAAAGCACATAGCATGTGCAAATCTCCCTACAGAGAATTTGTCACAGTGTATTGTTGACAGTCTATTTTCCTGCCTTCCCATTGCACTATGACCCCCAGATGGCCATATTCATGTCTGCCACCAAGATATGTAGCTGAGGGTTAGGACCAATAGTTCTGCAACCTGGTTACATGTGTTTGAACACTACTTTTTCAAAATCTACTTTTTCAAAGCTACACGTGTAACCATGAACAACTGGCCTAACTTCTTGGTGCCTCAGTTTCAATGTCCATAAAATGAAAACAAGAAGAGCACTACTAAAAAGCGCTACTAGAACACGTCCTCCCATATAGTAACCAGCATCTATTATCTCTGAACCCCCAGTGCCTGGCAGAAAGATTTCAGCAAATGTTTATCCAACATACTCCTTCCTGCTTGCTTCCAAGCTGCACAACCAGCGCCAATGTAAACTTGAAGTAAGCAGTTATACCAAAAGAGAAATCTCAGCTATAGGTCTCAGATACTATCTGATGATGCTCAACCTTGTGGTTGGTGGAAGCTGGTGGTCTGCTAATTTAATACATTCCAAAAGGTTTTTTATCTGTTAGTCATAGAATATTAATTCATAAATACAGGTAGGGAAGGAGTGGCTAGTTAGGGGGCTAAAGATAGTCCAGGATAAATTGTAATTGGGCTTTGGACCTGCAACACTCCAAACTCTTCACAATCAATGAAGCTCTAATCAGTTGATTAGCCTTTGCAGAGAGTTCAGTTGGGGGAGGCTGTTGTTTTGTATTTTTGCCTGTCATCACTCATGTTTTATTGAGATCAGTGGGAAGGTGGGGTATGAGAGGGGTGCTGGCTGCTGTGGTGAAAGCCGGACAGGTGAGGGGGCCAACCAGGGATGTTTCACCTGGCTCCAAGTTCCTGGAAACGACTTGCAACACCATAATTGTCCTCCATTGGAACCCCCAACAAGGCGATGTGCAGACCTGAGAGAAGGCAGCTAGGAAGGAATTGGGAGTGGTAGTTCTAATTCCCATGGCATCCACCCCAAGAGTGAGATGCTCATCTTCAAGTGCCCTGCCCTGCTCCTCTATGGAGACTGTAAAGGTCTGAGGCCCAGAGACCACTTGCTGACTTATTTCAGCTGGTCCCAGGGAATAGAGAGTGTCCTAAATTAAAGAACACAATCCATCATCTGCCATAATTCTGGAGTCTTCCAAGGCAAGAAATTTGAGAAAGGATAGTGATCATCCTGAGGAAGGTAGAGGTCTCTCCATGCCTCAAGGAGCCAGCCACCTTGCCTGGACCTGAGAGGCAAGGCACAAGGTACAGCAACTATGGCGTCTGAAGGACACAGTAATCTCTACCTCCACCATGTCTGGTGGCAATGGGTCCAGCACCCTGGCAGGGAGTCTTCAGGAAGTTCCTGCCTGTTGCTAGCAAGTGGCAGGCCATTGTCTCAGCTGCATCTGCAGTGAGTGGGTGGTAAGGTAGAGGCAAGGTGCCACATCACTTCTTTCTGCTTAATGGAAACCAGTTTATTCTCAAATTTGCCATTTTGTTGCCCCCTTTCAAATCAATAGCCAATAGAAAGGGATCAAGGTTCAACTTGGTGAGTTCAGTTTTAAAATGCAGTTTTTCTGGTAACTTTCGTTCACAAGTATGCATGAGTGAAGGCCAAAGGTCAACACTGGATGTCTTCCCCTATCATCACTCTCCACCTTATTTTTTTGTTTTTTTTGAGACAGGGTCTCTCTATAGCCCCAGTTGGCCTGGAACTTGTTGTGTAGACTAGGGTGGCCTTGATCTCACAGAGATCCACCAGCCTCTGCCTCCCAAGGGCTGGGATTAATGGCATGTGTCACCATATTCAGCTTCCACCATATTTTTTGAGACAGGTTCTTCCACCGAACCTGGAGCTTATCATTTCAGGTAGTCTAACTGTTGAGCAAGGCCCAGAGATCCTCCTCCTCTACCTCCCAGTGCTGGGATTAAAAGCTCGCACCACTGAGCCTTGCTTTTTTTTTTTTTTTTTAACATGAGTGCTAAGGATCCAAACTAATACATAGTTGCACAGCAAGCACTTTTCTGACAGATCTAACCCCCCACCCCACTCTGCTTTTCTTTATAGTTTTTTTTAAGGAATACCCATACTGATTTCCATAGTGAAGGGACTAATTTGCACCCCCAGCAACAGTTTGTAATGGGTCCCTTTGCTTCACTGGCATTCATCTGTTTTCTTGATGATAACCATTCTGAGGTGAGATGGAATCTCGATGTAGTTTTAATTTGCACTTCTCTGGTATTTAAAAATGTTGAATATTTTTCATATTTTTATTGGCCATTGTACTTAATCTTTTGAAAATTATCTGTTCATTACCCTATTTATTGATTGGATTTTTGAGGGGTTGTGATATTTAGTTTTTTGTTTATTTGTATATTCTACCTATTAATCCTCTATCAGTTGTATAGCTATATTTTTATAGCAAAGATTTTTTCTTCCATTCTGTAGGCTGTCTCTTCATTTAGTTGTTTCCTTTACTGCACAAAAGTGTTTAAATTTCATGCAGATTCCAGAATCTTTATCATCGAGGGGTTCTTTGCTGCTGAAACTAAGGAAAAGACAGAGCTGGCTAGGAATGTGAGTACCAATGGAAGATCCTGGTCACCACTCCAGTCCTTTCCTCTAATATTCTAACTTGCCAAATTGCTCTCAGGAAGGAATGGGTTAAACTTGTAGCTCAGCTGCCCTTTTCCTACTCTGTTTTACAGTTCCTGCTTCCCAGTGCTAAAAAGGAAGCAATTCTTTCAGCTCTGCTGACTGCTGTTGCTGCTGTCATATCCAGCACATGAGGTTCCCGGAAATCCTCTGCAAAGCATTTAGGACTTTTACCTAAATCGTAGAAATTTAGCTTTTTTCCTTCCTCGGAGCTGAAGATATTTTAAAGAAGAATTAACTTCTCTCTCCTCTAGTTGAACATTTTCTAGCAGTAAGAGCCATGCAAATAGCACTCTCCACTTGCTTCTTTCTGAGCCTTTTCAATTTTGCCTCTAGTGCCACCAGAAGATACTACCTGGGTGCAGTAGAGCTGTCCTGGGACTATGTGCATAGTGACCTGCTCAGTGAGCTGCATACGGACATCAGGTAAACATGCGCTGCAAGGGGCAATTCTGTGAGGATGTGATTTGGTTGGAGGAATGTGTAGATAAGAGGCAGGAGTGACTAACTGCTTACTTAAGCCCCTCAAACATTTGCAGGTAAGTTGCATATACAGCCTGATCACTGCACCATACAGCTTGCTATTTCTTCTTAAGGATCCGACCTAGTCATTGATTTTTGTTGTTCTACTTCCCATTGATTCTCTTTGTTGCATAGTGTCATTCTTAGAGAGTGGGGTAGACAAAGGGAAGGTGAAGAGACAAAGAGCGTGGAAAGAGAAAGAACACAATTTCCCATGGAATACCCCAAGCTTCCATAGAAAGAATTGGAACAATGAGATCTCAGTATGCCTGGGTTTAATGTCTAGTTCTCAGGAATGTACATGTGGTGGACTTTTTATATGCTATGTGCCACAGCTTCAGAAGTTTTTCAACATTATGAGGGGGTTCTGGTACATCTGATGAGATTAGATCATTAAATAAATCTTGTCAGTATTATCTATGTTCACTGACTTATTTTGATTTTAATGCTTCTTCTTCAGTCAATCTATTACCCCTTGATTTGATAATGCATTGGTGTTGAGTTACATACCAGTCTGTATGATTTTATTAAAATGTACTGTCTCTATTTATATATTTGTCATTCCTTATCTTTCTTTTCCTTCCTCTTTTTTTCCCTCCTTTCTTTTAAACATACTACATCCAGGACATTTCCTGCGTTTACCTGCATCATCATCATCATCATCATCATCATCATCATCATCATTATTTGCCATTTACAATTCTTTTTTCCATTTGGTTTCTGCTTTTTTCTATCAGATTTTATTTTGAGACAGAGTGTCTCTGCAGTCTCAGCTGTCCTGAAACTCTATATGTACACCAGACTGGCCTTGATCTCACAGAAATCCACCTGCCTCTGCCTTCTGAGCGCTACGATTAAAGGTGTGCATCACCACACCCCAGTTTCAGCTTTTTAATGTCACTAATCAATTCATTTTTTTCTAATTTCATTTAGGTTACTTTGTTACTTCACTTTTGCTTATCAAAATTACTTACTTTATATTTCATTGTATTTCTCCAGTTGTGTATTATAAATATTTAAACACAGGCAAACATGGTGGTAATCCCAGAACTCAAGCGATGAAAGCAGAAGAATCAGGAGTTCAAGACCAGCCTTGGCTACATAGGGAGTTTGGGGACAGGCTGTTCTACAGGTGATCCTGTCTCAAAAAGAAAGAAATTTAAATACAGTGCACATATAATACTAATGCAAATGCTAAATATGGTTATATCACACTTTGGAAGTATTTTTGGTGGGCCAGGCATGATGGTGCACGACTTTAATCCCAACCCTTGGGAGGCAGAGGCACGTGGATCTCAGTGATTTCAAGGTCAGCCTAGACTACATAGTGAGTTCCAGGCCAGCCAGCTGGGGCTACAGGGGAGACCCTGTCTCAAAAAGACCCCCCAAAAAAAAACTGGTTAAAGCCTTCCCAAAAGTTACCCATCATATTTCTATCATTTTATTATAAAAGAAAAAGAAAAAGTATTTTGGTGGTTTGTATTTACATTTTCCACTATCCTTCCACACCAGCCAGTCTTTTTCAACAAACAAAGACACCACACACACACACACACACACACACACACACACACACACACACACCGATTTTCTTGGTCACTATTTTACAAAAGTGGGATGTTATATACACTTTTCCACTCAGTAATATCTAGTAGAATTTTTTCAGGTCAATAACCCCAACCTTAATTCATATTTTTAATATGAATTTTTTAGATTTTTAATATGAATTTTTTAGATTTTTATGGTATGGCTATATCATACACATAAATATCATCATCTCATTCCTTTTTTGCTTCAATATCCTCTATCATTGTGTACTGATGTATTCATTCATTCACTCAGCGATTCATTTTATGGTGGTTGGGGTAGACTTTAGAGTCTCCTGCTTTATGGATGAATGCTTTATCCCTGAGATACAGTCCTAGAACTGTTGCTGTTATTTCTTCAGTATCTTGCTGGAACAAAGGAAATTGTTTTCTGTTTTAGTTTTAATTTCTAGAAACTTGAAGACTCTTCACATATGTCTACCTTAATTATATGGGACCGCATATCTATCTGCATTTGCATCAGCAACAAGTTTTCTATTGTTTTTAGAATTTTTCACAATCTCATGAGCACAAAAAATATTGCATCATTAATTGCCTTATGTTTATTTCTATTAAGATTGAACCGCCTTTAAAATGCTTATTAATTGTCAAGGTTTTTTCAGATTTTACTCTTCATTCACTTTGCTCATATTTCTTTGGGCTCTTCCAGTTTTTAAATTATGGAAATACTTTTATTATAAGTATTCATTATCCTTCATGTGTGTTATAATTTCTCCCAAGAGCATTTGTATGTTGCCTTGGTTTATAACTATTATGAAAACACTTTTAATTTTTATATTCAAATATAGTTTTTCTTTCATATCTTATGTTTGGCAGTGTTAGTTAAAATGTCTTCCACACTTCAAGGACTTATGGGCATCTGTCCAGAATTTGTTGCATTTCCCCCTTTGTAGCATCTGTGTTCTACCCTCCCCTGGTGTTCCTTCTCCCCCCTCCACCAACAGTCCCTTTCTACTTTCCTGGCTACTATGGTTACTCCAAGTCATACACTCAAAAACATAAAGATTCAGACTGAGGATCCACAGATAAGAGAGAACATGTGGCTTTGTCTTTCTAGGTCTGGGTTGCTTTACTCAGTATAATATTTTCTGGTTCCATTCATTTACCTGCAAATTTCATGATTTCATTTTTCTTTACAGATGAATAGAATTCCATTGTGTATATATATGCCATATTTTCATTATTCATTCATCAGTTGAAGGATATTTAGGTTGTTTCCATTTCTTACGTATTGTGAACAGAGCAGCGATGAACATAGTGTACATGTATCTCTATGGTAGGATATGGAGTCCTTTGGGTATATGCCTAAGAGTGGCTATCTGGGTCATATTATAATCCTATTTTTAGATTTTTGAGAGACTTCCACATTGATTTCCAAAGTAACAATACCAGTTTACACTTGCACCAACAGTAGATAAGTGTTCTACTTTCCTTGCCTCCTTACCAGGATTTGTTGTCCTTTGATTTTTTTGATACTAGCCATTCTGACTGGGGTCAAATGGAATCTCAAAGTAGTTTTAATTTGCATTTCCCTGATGGCTAATGATGATAAACACTTTTATAAGTGTTCATTGGCATTTGTACTTTTTCTTTTGAGAAATCTCTGTTCAGTTCCATAGCCTTTTAAAAAATTAAGTTGTTAGTTTCTTTTCTAAAAATTATGTGTATGCATTTGTATATGTGTGTGGGTTTGTGCGTGTGAATGCAGTTGCCGGAGGAGGCCATCTCTACAGATCAAGACTGTTTCTTGATGTTTCGGGTATTTTTAGTTCTTTGTATAGTCTACATATTAATGCTCTGTCAGATGTATAGCTGGCAAAGATTTTCCTCTATTCAGTATACTGTCTCATCACCCAGTAGATGGTTTCCTTAGCTATACAGAAGCTTTTTTTAATTTCATGAGCTCCCATTTGTTATTAGCTTTACTTCCTGAGCAATAGGAAATAAGTTCTATTCAGAAAGTCCTTACTTATGCCTATATCTTGACATGTATTCCCTACTTTTTCCTCTAGCAGTTTCAGAGTTTCAGGTCTAACATTGAGGTCTTTGATCCATTTGGAGTTTATTTTTGTGTAGGGTAAGAAATAAGGATTTAGTTTCATTCTTCTATATGTGGATATCCAGTTTGTCCAACAAAAATCCACACTAGTTGCTGTCTTTTCTCCTGTGTGTATTTTTTGCTTATTTTAAAAAAATCAATCAATCAATCAGTCAATCCATCCGTCATTCAGGTAGATGTAGGAGTGTAGGTTTATATTGGATTTTCTATTTGATTACATTGATGTATCTGTTTGATTTTTGTGCCAGTACCATGATGTTTTTATTACTGTGACTCTATAATATAACTTGAACTCAGGTATGGCAATACCTTCTGCAGTATTCTTTTTGCTCAGGATTGGTTTGGTTATTGGTACTCCTTTTTTTGTTTGTTTCCATATGAATTTTTAAGATTTTTTTGTATTTGCATGAATAATGAGGCTTCAATTTTGATTGGGACCGCATTGATTCTGAGGTTCCTTTGTTAGGATGTCCTTTTCACAATATAAATTTTTCCAGTCCATGAGCATGAGAGATCTTCCCATCTTCTAGTGTCTTCCTCAATTTTATTCTTCAGTGTTTTAAAGTTTTATTCTAAAGGTCATTTGCTTCCTTGGTTAGGCTAGTTCCAAGGTAATTTTTTTTAGGCTACTGTGAATGGGATTGTTTCCCTAATTTCTTTCTCACTTTGTTGATGATATATAGAAAGGCTACTGATTTTTATGTATTAATTTTATATCCTTCAACTTTAATGATAGTATTTAGCAACTGTATAAGTTTTCTAGTAGATTTTTTTGGCCTTTTATGTATAGAATCATATCATCTGCAAATAGGAATACTTTGACTTCTTTTCCTTTTTGTATTCTCTTTATTTCCTTCTCTTGTCTCATTGCTCTGGCTAAGACATCAAGCCTATATTTAATAAGAGCAGAGAGGGTGGACACCCTTGTTTTGTTCCTGAATTTCATTGGTATTTGTTGTAATGTCTTCCTTTTTATCTCTAAAGTTAATAATTTGGGTCTTTTTTCTCTTTCATTTGGTTAATTTAACTAAGGTTTGTCAATTTTGTTTACTTTTTCAAAGAACCAACCCTATGTCTCAGTGATTGGTTCTTTTTATTGTTTTTGTTTGTTTCTTTTTTGTTTATTCCTGCTCTGATCTTATTTATTTCTGTCTACTAGTTTTGGACTTGGTTTGTTCTTGTTTTTCCAAGGCTTTAAATTGCATAATTAAGGTTTTTATTTGAGAACTCCCTGATTT